CTGGGGCAGGTAAAAATGTATTCAGCACATGGATGAAAAAAATCAGGGGGGATATTGCTCATGATACATTTTGCTACACACCAAAGGGAAGAAAGGGGGGAGGGTACATGCCAGGTCATATTAAACCATTTATGATAAACGGCCAGCATTTATAACACTTGGCCCATAGTTAGCACCTTCCACTCCAGGAGCCCAAAGCACTTTGGCTAGCTCCTCAGCTGGAATTTAGGAGCCTATATCCCTTTCAGGATCTGGACCTTTGTCCTCAGTTAAAGTTCAGATTGTCTTTAGTGAACATCATATTATGGGTGCAGAAATAAGCACAAACGATGCCACTTAGCACATAAACAAGGCTCATATATGTCCAGTTCACCTGGCTTTCACATGGTACTTTACTCATCACATAAACAAGGCTCATATCTGTCCAGTTCACCTGGCTTTCACATGGTACTTTAAATACATCCTCCTGCCTCTCTCCTTCCTCCCTGCCTTTTCTTGCAATTGTAAGCCCTCATTGCCACTGTTAGCATTTCCACTGGCTAGAACCCTGCTAACTCATGCTAATAACTCAGCAGAATGTATCTGTTGGACTGCCCAAGGTCACCTAAAATCACATCCGCTGGCTGTTATTTTTTTCCTTCTCACCATTGTTTTTTTTTTTTTCTATTTACGCAGCTGCCTAACAAGGATCTGCTTTCATCTGGGAACACCCTGTGCACTAACCAAAATGAAAAGCCGGATAACGTGGCGTTGGAAGGGAGGGAAAAAGCTACGCTCGTCAAAACTGGGCACCAGGAGGAATTTGGCTCCTGTTGAAGGCCAATCATTTAAAAAGGGCGTCAAATCCATCATTGTTACAAACGTGTTGCAACAGGACAAGGCCTTGTGCCAGAAAGCGGTGGACTCTGGTAATGGTTGAGATACTGCTATGTTATGCTGCTTAATGTGGGCACACAATGACAGCTACTCTGGAGAGAATTGGCCAACAAAAGGGCTATGCGCCAAGTTCAAGATCTGCTCCCTGTCAAGCAGCAGAGGCAGGATGCACTCAGCCCATGCAGGATCAGCTCACTGTATGGCTGTGACTTCAGTCGAGCAGTGGCATTGTGAATTTTTCACCCCTGGGGCTCACAAGTGGTTGCAGCCCTAACGGGCCTACAATGCCAATGGTCCCTACATTTTCCAGCAATGCTCAGCTCCTGTCTGCACCCCCTCCTATGTCAGAGCCAGGCCACATTTCTAAGGGTGGGGAAGGAATGAGGCCAAGGTAAGAGAACCAAGATTGGGGCTGCAGCTGAGACTGGTCTGAGGGGCGGCCGTGGTTAGGGGGTGTAACTGAGAGAGAAGCAGGGCTGGGTGGCACTCCCTCTGTGCCCCCTCCTAACATTCTTTCATACCCTCTTAGGGGGATGCGTTCCACAGTTCAGAGACCTCTGTTTTATCAGCTCCACGAGGTCCCAGCTGACACTGAGCTAAAGCTGCTGTCCTGTAACTGTAAAAGCAGATTTTGTGTTCCCCCGTGACCAAGATAGTTTGTATTTAAATCTGACTTAATTTAGCCAACATCACATTCCAGCGGTTGACTGAAACAGAGGAAAGCTGGGAAATTCAGGCGGAAGCTGACACATCCTTCTTACTCATCTTCTCGTGCCTGGCTGCTGAAACCAAATATAGTATAAAACGCCCTGCAGTGGCCAGAGATCCTTGTAGAGGAAGGAGAAGCTCTGAGGCAGGAGAGAGATAGGCACTCGGTTGGGATTCTGGAAACCTGGCCTTCATCACTATTGCGCTGCTGTGTGACCTTGAGTTGGTTCCTTTCCCCTCACTCTGCCGTTCTGCCCTTGTAACCCACGTCTCTCTCTTCTCTTTAAACTGCAAGCTCAAGGGCAGAGACTCTCTCTCAATTATGTGTTCGTATAACACCCATCACAGCTGGGCTCCAACTTCAGCTGTGGGTGTAAGTGCTACTGTATTAGTTCAGGCCTGAGTGGCAATTTATATTTAGCTTACTCCTGTCAGTTCTAATCAATTAATTTTGGGTTTTTGTGTTTGTTTTGAAACTTCTCCCTCTTGTTACAGCAGAAATCACAAGAGATCATGTTTGCTGTCTTGAGCTGTGTGCTGAGCCTTGATATGCAGAACAGAGAATAACCTTCTGTGGCAGAAGGAGGAACACAGAGCACAAGCCTTTAGAGATGACTCGTTAGCATTTTTTAAATCTGAGATGAATACCAATGTAATGGATTGGTGCTTAAAGCAAGGTTATCACAGCTTTTTGCATATATTTCTCACTAACAGAGTTACCCAGCGCTGCTCGAGTCTGTAACTCAATTAAGTTTTTTGAGGGGGGAAATAAAAGGAAAATGTACATGCTTTGCATTTGTATTTTTCAAAAAGTTTTTTATTACATTAATTTTTATTTCAGATTTCTTTAAAAGAGGATTATGAAAATGTCTCTTTTTTTTTTTAGTATTTTTTTAAAATTGGAATTCCATCAAGTGTATTTTTCTTCATCCCTATAAACTCTTACAATTTGCTATAAAAGAGCTATAATCAATTTGGTTTCCAATATCATATTCCAGGCTCATCCTATTTTTCTGGCTCATCTTAGTTCAGTCTCTTTCAACATTTGCCTCATTATGTCAATTTTGAGGACTGTACTTGCTTTGGTGATTCTCTTTAGTGTTGGGTTTTGAAAAGCAATCCCATTCCAAGCGCATTCCATTTTCCTGGCAAACCAAACTCTTACATTGCTTTGAGTTATGATCAGAGGAAGCTGCTTATACCAAATTTGGTGGCCCAAGCTCTTACCATTTAAGAGGCGCTCTTGATCAAACAGACAAACTCTCTAAAATATATAGTAGACAGAGTTAGTCTAGTTGTAACAAGCCAGGGAAACGTAATTTTTAGTTTTGACCTCCACATTGACAAGTCGTTTTGACAAGACACATACAGGGGACTTTTTCAGAGCAAAGTAAATAACTCATAACCAAGCCTTATTAAACATTCTGTACCTTACCATCAAATGTCACAGGCTGTGTCTAGACTGGCCAGTTTTTCCGGAAAATCAGCCGCTTTTCCGGAAAAACTTGCCAGCTGTCTACCCTGGCTGCTTGAATTTCCGCAAAAGCACTGAATTCCTATTGTAAGAAATCAGTGCTTTTTGCGGAAATACTATGCTGCTCCCATTTGGGTAAAAGTCCCTTTTGTGCAAAACTTTTGCACAAAAGGGCCAGTGTAGACAGCTGAGATTTGTTTTGTGCAAAAAAGCCCCGATCGTGAAAATGGCAATCGGGGTTTTTTTGCGGAAAAGCACATCTAGATTGGCCACGGACGCTTTTCTGCAAAAAGTGCTTTTGCATCCGTGCCAATCTAGATGCTCTTTTCCGAAAATGCTTTTAACGGAAAACTTTTCTGTTAAGAGCATTTCCGGAAAATCATGCAAGTCTAGACGTAGCCACAGTGTGTTAGCAAATAAGCTGTTGATAATGTTCCACCTCAGTTTTCATTGAGGTCTAGGGGAGTAGTGAAGAGCTCAGAGTGTAGCAGAAAGCTTGGGAAATGCTGGAGAACCAGCAGGGACAGTCTGGCATCTAGGAAGGCAACTGGCAGAGCAGGGAAAAGCAGAATCAAAAGAGAATTAAACAAGGGGGCTACGTCTAGACTGGCCACAAATTCCGGAAAAGGGATGCAAATCAGGTAAGTCAGCATAGGGAAATCCGCGGGGGATTTAAATATCCCCCGCGGATTTAAATAAACATGTCCGCCGCTTTTTTCCGGCTTGGGGAAAAGCCGGAAAAAAAGCGTCTAGACTGGCGCGATCCTCCGGAATAAAGCCCTTTCCTGGAGGATCTCTTATTCCTACTTTCAAGCAGATGATTTTGCGGAAAAACTTGCCAGTCTAGACACAGCCATTGAATCCCGTGTAGCTGTTGCCCCAGGCAATGCACTAGAAGCGCCAGAGCTATGAGCCCTTTTAACTGTCTCTATTTAAAGGGCTCGCGTGACAGGTGCAGGGAAGGTGTTAGCCCTTTAAACAGAAGCAATTAAAAGGGCTTGCAAGTCCAAGCTCTCTGGCAACACACTAGCAGCACCTGCGCTGCAAGCCCTTTTAACTGTTTCTATTTTAACTGCAGCCACCTGGCAGGCACAAGCCCTTTAAATCAGAGCAATTGAAAGAACTCACAGCTCCGTCCCCATGCTAGCCTGTTGCCTGGCAGCCTGGCACATGTGAGCCCTTTCAACAGCTTCTATTTAAAGGGCTTGCACCATCCATCCCAGGCTCCACCCCTTTCATCTGAGGCCCTGCCCCTTCTGGGGCAGCCCGTGCGTGCTTCAAAATTTTTTGAAGTGGCCCCCGCTCAAAAATTATTGCCAACGCCTGCCCTAGCAAAATGGAAGATGCTGCAGTAAAATGGGTTGGAGAAGCTTAAGCCTTTGATTGGTGGCATTTTCCAGCATACCAGCCAGCAGATGTGCATGTACCTACCAGAGGAGACATCTGGAAAAGATTAAGCAACATATTGAAGAGCAGAGAGACAATGGAAACAGTTAAGAACGGAAAAACCCAGGCCACAAAATAATCAAAGAATAACAACTGATTTTAATAGAGTCATGTCCCTTTGCTTCTTTAGAGAAGCTATACCCCACAATTCCACATATCATCATCATCAACAACCATGGGCTTAGTGCCTGTTGGTGTCTGATGCCTTCCTCACTATTTCCTTCCATCTTTCCCTGGCCAGTGAATGCAGGGTGTATAACAAACATATCTTCATTTCCCTGGCAGCTGGAAACAGAGTAATCTTAAGTGATCCCACCAACTATGCTATTAAGTCTGGAGAGAGGATATAATGTAATCAGTATTAGAGCCCTGTAGCAGACAGGTAGAAACATGTTGAATAAATGCCCCACTCCCCGCCTCAAATTTCCAGGTCCAAAACATCCTCCTCTTCCCATCCCTACCATATGGATAATAAAGACCTGAAGAACAGAAGATGATGGCACAAGCAGATGATCCCAGCTGTTTTATTCAGATGATGGCTCCCTATAATGTACATGTTCGCTACATCTAGACTGGCATGATTTTCCGCAAATGCTTTTAACAGAAGTTTTCCGTTAAAAGAATTTGCGGAAAAGAGCATCTAGATTGGCACGGACGCTTTTCCGCAAACGCACTTTTTGCGGAAAAGCTTCCGTGCCAACCTAGATGCAGTTTTGCGCAAGAAAGCCCCGATCGCCATTTTCACCATCGGGGCTTTTTTGCGCAAAACAGTTTTTAGCTGTCTACACTGGCCCTCTTGCGCAAAAACATTTCTGGAAAAGGGCTTTTGCCTGAACAGGAACGTCAAAGCATTTGCGCAAGAAGCACTGATTTCGGACAGTACAACGTCAGTGCTTTTGCGCAAAATCAAGTGGCCAGTGTAGACAGCTGGCAAGTTTTTGCACAAAAGCGGCTGCTTTTGCGGAAAAACTTGCCAGTCTAGACGCAGCCAATGTATATGTGTCAGAACTGCACCTAATCAGGGCAAGTTTCGCAATTTAATCCTGACTACTTCAAACCCAAACACATCCAAAGAATGCCAAGCAGATGCTCTTTGTTCAGGCTATGTTCGGGCCACGAAAGGTGCCACGTTTTAGTACAAACGTGCGTCCTCGGGGCCTAGTAGCCGGAGCGCTAGACTTGGACTTAGGAGAGCCTTGGTTCTCGTGTTAGTTCTGTCACTGGTCCGTGGGGTGACCTCCAGCAAGCCTCCTCGCTCTGTGCCTCAGTTTCCCCACTCCCCAAAGGGCACGACTGGCTGGCAGGCGGCCCAGGCTGCGGGAAGGAGAAGCCTCCTCGCTCTGTGCCTCAGTTTCCCCACTCCCCAAAGGGCACGACTGGCTGGCAGGCGGCCCAGGCTGCGGGAAGGAGAAGCCTCCTCGCTCTGTGCCTCAGTTTCCCCACTCCCCAAAGGGCACGACTGGCTGGCAGGCGGCCCAGGCTGCGGGAAGGAGAAGCCTCCTCGCTCTGTGCCTCAGTTTCCCCACTCCCCAAAGGGCACGACTGGCTGGCAGGCGGCCCAGGCTGCGGGAAGGAGAAGCCTCCTCGCTCTGTGCCTCAGTTTCCCCACTCCCCAAAGGGCACGACTGGCTGGCAGGCGGCCCAGGCTGCGGGAAGGAGAAGCCTCCTCGCTCTGTGCCTCAGTTTCCCCACTCCCCAAAGGGCACGACTGGCTGGCAGGCGGCCCAGGCTGCGGGAAGGAGAAGCCTCCTCGCTCTGTGCCTCAGTTTCCCCACTCCCCAAAGGGCACGACTGGCTGGCAGGCGGCCCAGGCTGCGGGAAGGAGAAGCCTCCTCGCTCTGTGCCTCAGTTTCCCCACTCCCCAAAGGGCACGACTGGCTGGCAGGCGGCCCAGGCTGCGGGAAGGAGAAGCCTCCTCGCTCTGTGCCTCAGTTTCCCCACTCCCCAAAGGGCACGACTGGCTGGCAGGCGGCCCAGGCTGCGGGAAGGAGAAGCCTCCTCGCTCTGTGCCTCAGTTTCCCCACTCCCCAAAGGGCACGACTGGCTGGCAGGCGGCCCAGGCTGCGGGAAGGAGAAGCCTCCTCGCTCTGTGCCTCAGTTTCCCCACTCCCCAAAGGGCACGACTGGCTGGCAGGCGGCCCAGGCTGCGGGAAGGAGAAGCCTCCTCGCTCTGTGCCTCAGTTTCCCCACTCCCCAAAGGGCACGACTGGCTGGCAGGCGGCCCAGGCTGCGGGAAGGAGAAGCCTCCTCGCTCTGTGCCTCAGTTTCCCCACTCCCTCACCTCAGACCGCGCCCCCGCCTCGCGCGCTCTACACGCATGCGCTCAATGTGCAGGGCCGCTGCCTATATGAGCTCATCCTTTACAGGTGAGACCAATGGGTGGGGGGGAGAGGGAGATTTGGAAGAGACCATTATGGTCTAGCTTGGAGGGGGAGTCCCAGCCTTGCTAGGGGAGGTGATGAGTTTGCTAGGTCTGATGTGGAAGGTGTGACCCTCATGGTGTCACTGGGCCTGCCTTTGTGCTGCAGTGTGAATCAAGGATATTAAAATGCGGTTAAGTGACAAGTCGATGGAATTTCCATTGGCTAGTCAATAGGCACTTCTGCATTCCTTCTTTGAAATACACAAGCGCTTCCGCTGGGGCTCTTGTACGTTTCAAAGGAGTAATCTTACATTTCAAAGGAGTAATGCGGAACATCGCCTGCAGCCCTGGGCCAATTGGGAAGTCCCGCTAACTCCAGCCTGCAGGTGGGTGCCTTCTTTGAAATGCACAAGAGCCCCCAGTGGGGGCTCTGTGCATTTCAAAGCCACGGAGCTGGTTTTTAAACTGGATCCCATGGCGGACCAGCTCCCACCTGGCACCCCATGCTGCTGCCTCGGATACAGTGGCTGCTGGCCCCGCCCTCCAGAACTATAGAATAGTGGACTAACTGATAAAATTTATGAGGTTACTCGACTGTTCCGTTAACCGATATTTAACATCCGTAATATAAAGCAACCCTGCCCTTGTTTGGTGTTTACTATGGTGGCTGATTATGAATCTCTGTTGGGCAAAAATCCCTTTGAAAAATGGGGACACTCTTTTAATGCCAACTACGCACAGGCAAGATCAGGCCCTGCAACGTTAGCTATGTACGTGCTCAACTTGATGCATTAGTGGTGTTGAAATCAATGGGATGACTTGCAATAGGCAAAGTGCATGTGTGAGTCTGCAAGAACAAGACTATATCAGGAAAGCCCTGCAAATCTGTGGGTATCTGCATCCCCAGAGTTGCAGCTATCCGAAGCTCATTTTTGCAGATATGGATAAAATTTTTTGTATCTAGAGCCCTGCACATTTGCAGATATTTGCTTTATATCCCTGGGTATCCGCACCCGGATATGTAATCTTGGATCTGCACAGGGCTCTGCATTAGGGATGTAAGAGGTTAACCAACCAGCTGATGCTGATTGCTTACTACTAACGGTTAAACTCTGCATGAGGCTCCTCGCAGTTCCATGGGATCCCCGCCGAACCTGTAGCCCTGGCAGCTTTGCGGGGTGTGAGCCGGAAACGTTGGGAGTGGTTAATCACGTAACTGGTAGAATTTTTATCAATTACACAGTTAATTTTTTAATATCCCTACACTGCATATCAGTGTATCTTGTCCTACTACGTGCATTATTATAGCTTTTCTTGTTCATAAAAAAGATGGATTAAAGAGCTCATCTTTTCACTTTTAAATGCATTTGTATTGTTTTGTTCTCCTTTCAGTTCTGTTCTTCAGAGGTAATTCCAGTCACTAATATTTATTTTTTTATGTATTACAATAATCCCTCAAGCTATTCATGCAGTTTATCATAGTAGTTTGTCCTATTTAATGTAAATAGTGCCAGCACAATGGACTCTTGATTGCTAGTAGGTGTCTCTAGGTAATATGACAATGTAAATAAGTAATAATAAGGTGCCTGTTTCTAATGCATCTCTCACTACAGTACAAAACCACCAACTCTAAAAATATTGTATGATAATATACAAACATATTGGCTCTGTTTTTTACACTTATGCAGCCATTTATATTTGTTGACTTCAAACTTGACTTCAATTGCTGCCAAAGTAGAATGGCAACATTTGACAACCCCTCTACATAATTGTAAGCAGTGACAAATTGGACCTTGGATATTCTCATCTCAGTTGTTGTTACTTAGCATTTATGTTGTGATAATACATAAAAGGCATATGTAGATCAGGCTCCATTGTGCTAGGCACTGAAAAAAAATAGAGGTAGGGAAAATAGGGTAACTAACATAATGTGTAATTCTTAGCTATTCAGTAGTACTGATCACAGAGTTCATTCATCTTTCTAGCTAGTATCCGATTACAAATTGATCTACGCATTATGAAGGAAGAGAGTTTTGATGAGGGACTTTAAGTAGGGTAGGATGGGACTGGGAGTCTTTTCCCTAAAAATTGAAGGGAGACAGGAATGGGGAAAATATAACATTTGTTGGAGCAGTGGAGAATTGGATGCTCAAGACTGGCATCATTGACAGAGTTGAAGGCAGGAGTTGACCTTGTGATAATAGAATACGGTGGATAGATTTGGTGAGACTTGGTAAATCTAAGTCTAGATGTCCATTTTGCTTGATTTCTTTGTGATTTTTTTTTTAAACAGAAAAAAGTATGGCATAAATATTTCATGGTTATTTTAAAGGCGGAGTTCTGTCCATACCAGTGTCAGTAGCATTCAATTAATTCTCCGTATCATTGGACTTGGCCCCAGATTAAGGTAATTAAGGTTCTGGGGATACTACTACTTCTGTTTATTTTAACCTTGTATGTGTTTTTCAGGCTTCATGAAAGTCAAGAAGAGGAGCCAAATATCCTGGTGGAGTGTGACTCCACGGTGCTGGACTCTCTTCAAAAGCATTTGAAATTGTACAAGATCCGGAGGAAAGTAAACATAGTCCCATGCCTTGACCTCTCTTTGTGGGCCATCATCCCCGGGGAACAGTCCGGAGACATTTCCAGTATCCTTGATAAATGTGCAGACAAAACTTTGGTTTTAACTCCTGATCCCAGAGCAGAAGTCATGGGTTGGAGATTGATTACAAAGAAAAAGGAAAATCCACTAGAAATTGTCCCTGGAAGTCATATTGGAAATATTAGGGATTATCATAGACACAGGTACAAACAAGGTAAAGCTGATTTCAGTTTTATACACTAATGAATTAGGAAAATGAGGGAGATGTTTGTCACTATGAGAACTCCATATTCAAGATCTAATGCAAGATCCTAGTAGAAGTTATAAGTGCTTCAGTTATAAGTAGGATGTCTGAAAGTGTTTGCTGACATGGTAGTAAAAAAAGCTTGCGTTTAATACTTTCAGACTAAATTTGATTTAGGTGCTATAACTATTTTTAATACAGTATATAGCTGCTGGGTTTTTAAATACATGAATGGATGTGACCATGCATAGGATTACCGGTTTCCATGTGATCTGACATTTTTGTGGCTTGAATCTTTTTGATTATTTTTGGATTATTAACTGTGCTTCATGTTTGTTTGCCTGTTGCTGTGGAAAAAAGACAGAACGTGGCCTGTTTAATAAAAATGTATGATTGGATTCATAAAGAACAGAGCGTGGCCTGTTTATGAATCCAATCATACATTTTTATTAAAGAAATTTACAATCAAAGCAATGTGTATTTGCTTTGAGTTGGTAACTAAGGCTCTGATACTGCAATCTCGTGTGTGGGTGGACCATTGTGTCCATGCAGAGCCCTGGTGACTTCCATGGGAGCCCAGTGAGGCATCAGATGCATCTAATCCTGGACGGGAAGTTGCAAAGGGAGGAAAGTTTTATGCGTGCGCGCACACACAGGGTTAATTTCCAAAAGCTGAGGAAAATTATGCATGAAGTTAGTGGAGAGGGAAAATTTAGACAGAAAAGTGTGAAATTAAGATTGAGAATTCTTTATTCAAAATACTTTATTAGATGGCCAAAAAACTGATTCCACAGTCAAGAAAAAGGACAATTTTGGCTAAAAGGATATCCTGGTTCAGTGGCAGAGTGAAGATATTAATTATGTATAAAATGGGGAAAGGAGGAATGCATAACTTCAGATTTATATCGTTATGAAGTACACATAATAAGGGGAGTTAAAGTAATCAAGGAAGAATCTATGGCTGGCCGGGCTAAAAACAATAAGGAGATTTTACAATATACATTAAACTTCCGATAATCCGGCACCTTTAGGACCCAGGGGGTGCCGGATTATCAGATATGCCGGATTATCGGAAAGGGGGGCTATGAAGGGTCTGGGGTGGAGTGCGGGGGATGTGGCCCTCGGCACTGCGGGACCAACCTAGCAGCACCCCAGCTTCTCTGCCCCAGGCTTCCCCAAGTCAGCCGCTGCTGAAACTGACCAGCGGCTGACTCCGGGAAGCCCGGGGCAGAGCAGCTGGGTTGCTGCTGGGTTGGTCCCACAGCGCTGAGGGGCGGCGCTAGGGGACCAACCCGGCAGCACCCCAACCACTCTGCCCCCAGCGTCCCCTAGTCAGCTGCTGCTGAAACTGACCAGCGGCTGACTCTGGGAAGCATGGGGCAGGGCTGCTCTGCCCCCCCGCTGGTCAGTTTCAGCAGTGGCTGAATTGGGAAAGCCGGGGGCAGAGCAGCTCCAATTGTCCAGCTGCCTGGAGCACTTCTGGGTTCCAGATGGTGCCGGACCATCAGGAGTGCTGGACCATTGGATGCCGGACCACTGGAGTTTTACTGTATTAGGAACAAAAGAAATCAAGGACTGTCATAGGCCCATAACTAAATAAAGGTGGTAAAATTATTAATAACAATAAAGAAAAGGCCAAAATAGATATTTTTCTCTGTATTTGGAAAGAAGCAGAATGACGTACTTATATCATGTAAGAATGATGAAGTACTTTCCATTCTATTAATATCTAGTGGATGATGTTTAACATCCTCCTGAATTACTAACAGCCTAGATAACTTGAACTCAAGGGTCTTAAGAGCTGGGTGAGATGCTTTTTGGACTATTAGTGTTAATTTTTAATTAATTTTGGAATGCCATGGAAATTCCAGAAGATCTGTAGATGTGATGTCCATATTCAGGGAAGGCTCCCAAGATGACTTGTGTAACTATAGGCCGGTTAACCTAACAAAGCCTAGACAAATAAATGGAAAATTTGAAATAGGATTCCACTGATGGAAGAATAAAAGGATAGGAATATAATTAATGCCAGTCAAATCTGGACATGCAGCAATATAAAAACCATCAAATTTAGTTAACAGCTTTGTGGAAATGTTAGTATGTTCTCCTTTCTGACAACATAAATGACTTTTGTAAGGGGATTGACGTAGTATTGTACAGTATCTGATTTAGAAAAATAAGTTCTGCAAAATGTCAGTAAAGCACTAATTAAAGGGCTTCAAACATAAGAAGCGGACAGATTTCAACGTACTTGTCAAAGGAGAATCATCACTAAGCGGGCTTGGCACTAGTTGGATTCTACAGGAATTGGTGCTAAGCCTGATGTTCATGCACACTTTTTATCCGTGATCTGGAAGTAAATATAAAATCATTGGCCGACACAAGGATTGACAGAGATAAATAATGATGAGGACAGGGCAGTCATTCAGACTGGGTCTGGAGAGCTTGGAAACTTGGCACATACAAACAAAAGGCATTTTAAAACAGCCAAATGCAATGTCATACATCTAAGGACAGGAAATGTAAGCCATCCTTCCAAAATGGGAGACTGTATCTTGGTTAGCAGTATTTCTAGGGATCATAGTAGACAAGCAAGATACCTGGGCTGCAAGGCTATGTCTACATTGGCATGATCTTGCACAAATGCTCTTTAACGCAAGAGTTCTTGGGTTAAAGTATTTGCGCAAGAGAGCGTCTACACTGGCATGTGCCTTTCCGCAGAAGATGTGCTTTTGCGCAAGAGCATCCGTGCCAGTGTAGACGCTCTCTTGCGCAACCAGGCTTTCTTGCGCTTGAAATTCATGTTGTCTGTCTACACTGGCTTCTTGCGCAAGAACAGTTGTGCAAGAGGGCTTATTCCTGAGCGGGAGCATCATAGTTCTTGCGCAAGAAGCAATGATTTCACACATAAGAACGTCAGTGTTCTTGCGCAAGAACTCCCCGCCAGTGTAGACAGGTAGCATGTTTTTTGCGCAAAAGCAGCTGCTTTTGCGCAAAATCATGCCAATGTAGACATAGCCCAAGTGTGACACTAGCAAAAGGAGTAATATGATCCTTAGTGTAAGGAGGAGTAGCGAGTAAGAGTGGAGAGGTGATTTTTGCCTCTGTATCTGGCAGTTGTGAGACCAGCATGGGAATACGGATGTCCAAAAAAGAGCCATAAACATGATCTGAGAACTGGAGAAAATGTCCTCTAATAAGAGACCTAGAGCTCAGTCTGTTTAGCTTATCAAACAAGAAGATGGAGAGGTGACCTGATTATAAGTATTTTCATGGGGAGGAAATGCCAGGTACTAATGGGCTCTGTAATTTAGTAGAGAAAGGCATATTGTGAATCAGTGGCTGGAAGCTGAAACCAGTCTGACAAAATCAGAGATAAGGGACACACTTAATAGCGAGTAGTGAAGGAGGGTGATTAGTCACTGAAACCAGCTACCATAGAAAATGCTGGATTCTCCAACTCTTGCCATCTTCATAGCAAGTCTGGATGTCTTTTGGGAAGATAAATTTTAGCCAAACAGAAGTTATTGGGAGCAATACCAGGGTAACATGGTGAAACCTTCATGACCTGTGATCTACAGGAGGTCAGAGTAGCTGATCTAATTCTGGCCTTAAACTTTATGAGCGAGGTCTGTCCTTCCAGATCAGATTGCAGGATCACAGCCTGTCTTAGGGCATGTATTCACTAGGGATGTTAAAATGTGTTTAAGTATGTAATTGCATAACCACTGAAAATGTCAGTGGCTACACGGGAGCGTACAAGGGGGGAGAGGGAGCTTGTGTGTGTGCTCAAAACATCAATAGATCAGATTTTTGTTTCACCTTTTCAATCAGCCTTTGCTAACCTTTGTGACTAGTGATTTCAACTTGGGCCTCTAACCAAAGTACTGAAAAAACAATAACTTCACATTATTTCTACTCATTTTTTTAAGTACAGTTTACAGAGAGCAAGATAGATGCTAAAAGTGCTATAAACTGTGAGAGCCTGACAGAACTTACCAGTTGCTTCTATTTTTTCCCCCAGGAATAGCTGAAGGCGTAAATGACATCCCCCCAGGAGTAGCCTTACCACTGGAATCCAACCTGGCCTACATGAATGGCATCAGTTTTACCAAAGGCTGTTATATTGGGCAGGAGTTAACAGCTAGGACCCACCACACAGGTGTCATCCGCAAACGCCTGTTACCCGTGCAGCTTTCAGCTCCTCTGCCATTGGGAAGCATTCCTGAGGGTGCTGCAATCTTAACTGAGTCAGGAAAGTCAGCTGGCAAGTACCGGGCTGGTGGAGATGAACTTGGCATAGCTTTGCTGCGATTAGCTAACATAAATGAGCCACTTCGTATCAGTTTACCAGGCGACGCTAATGTGACCCTTACTGCAGCTGTACCTAACTGGTGGCCAAAAACTACCAACCAATAAATAAGGAACCCTCTATGGCGCATCTGCCTTACTTTAAAACTTTAGGCTTGGGGAAATTCATGTGCTCCTTCACTCCCTTTCATCATGTTTTCCTTTTGTCTTTCGTCTTTTATTTGCAGCCCCTGGGCAGGGTGTATTACAGAAGGGTCCTTGGGAGCTGGGCCAAACAAGGGCCGAGTGGAGAAGCCTGTAGGAGAGCAGAGAAGTATTCAGCAAAATCTGTACAGTTCGTCTTGCGGAATTTCTCCTGCATGCCCTCCTGTAAGGGAGGGGAGTATGGGGCAAGAGATTAAGGAGACTGTGGGCTGTGCTAGGCAATGAGGCTCCATCCCTGAAAATCCTTGAGTCGGCCACAGCGCTCTTGTGGCCTGCCCTCTCCCTCTGTGACCTGTACCTTACTTCCATCTCCGACGGACAGTGAAGACAGGCCGGTTATTGCTGTATCAGTCCCGTGGACATTTGCATGGTACAGAAATGTCTCTATCAGTTTCCACTAGCTGGTTAGCTCACCCAAAACTGAGATCCCACAGCCTTACAGGGAAGGACTTTCATGGATTAGGGATGTTAAATTTAGATTAATTAACTAATTGAATAGTTGATGGGCTTGCCATTGACTATTTAATTAGTCTACAAGGGCGCCTCCGCCTTTGAACTGTAGCAAGAGGCCTGCTGGGGCACTTACACATTTTAAAAGCAGAAGCGAGCAGGGGGCTAGCGGGGGAGTCCCCCGCTGGCCCCGCGCGAGCTCTGGTGAGGCTCTTGTATATTTCAAAGGCAGAATTGCAGCAGAAGCAGTGCAAATGGAGACTGCTTGAGTCCCCCTTGCACCGTTTCCACTGTGCCTCTACTTCTCCTGTCCCCTGCGGGGCTGGTGCTGTGCAACTAGTTGCTCCCCTCTACCCCTACTTGCTGCCTCTATCAGAGGGTATGTCTACACTACCACCCTAGTTCGTACTAGGGTGGTTAATGTAAGCATCCGAAGTTGCAAATGAAGCCCGGGATTTAAATATCCCGGTCTTCATTTGCATCTTGCCGGGCGCCGCCATTTTTAAAGCCCCGGTAGTTCGGACTCCGTGCCCGCAGCTACATGCGGCCCGGAGTAGGTAGTTCGGAGTAGGCTCTCTATTCCAAACTACCGTTACCCCGAGAGCCACGAGGAGTAACGGTAGTTTGGAATAGAGAGCCTAATCCGAACTACCTACTCCGTGCCGCGTGTAGCCGCGGGCACGGAGTCCGCACTAACGGGCATTTAAAAATGGCGGTGCCCGGCAAGATGCAAATGAAGCCCGGGATATTTAAATCCCGGGCTTCATTTGCAACTTCGGATGCTTACATTAACCACCCTAGTACGAACTAGGGTGGTAGTGTAGACATACCCTCTGATAGAGGCAGCAAGTAGGGGTAGAGGGGAGCAACTAGTTGCATCACTAGTTGACTGTCCAATAAACGTCTGCTTATCATCTAGTTGCTTACATCCCTACCATGGACCACAGAGGAGTCTATCACAGAGACACTGCTCCCCAGCTATGGGTTGAGCCTTTTTGGTTTCCCCTCTCGACACAGTGGATGGTGACATATATCTTGAAGAGCCTCTCCAGGGCAGAGGGATGAGCTTAGGGTGGATGAAGGATATTAAGGAATGGCGACCAAGGAATTTAGCCCCTGCTCTGTGGGAGGCACACTGTGTTTATTTGAGTTCTTCTGGGTCGTGCTGAGTATTTCTTTGCCCTCCCTTGGGTGGATCAAAACTTATTCTGTACACAGTGCTGTATATGCTGAAAGGGGAGGTGGGAATAGGAATTTTATCGCAGTATGTGTCCAATGTTTTTATGTCAGGAATACTTCTGTGGGATTGTAGGCTTCCCAATAGGAGCACACTACCTGTTTCTTTCAACAGTCTGTGGCTTTGCTACTCTCTGCCTAAAATATTCACTGTGAAAGTTCCCTGCATCGGGCTTTCTGCACTCTCCTAGACTGCTGATTGAGGACTTTTTGTTTGCATTCCTGTTCATGGTCTCTAAAGGAAGAGGAATGGATTGTTCTCGGTGCTTGAAATAAGATTTTTTTTTCTTTTAATACCTGACCTCATGGCTGAGCAATGTATGCAGAGGCTGTAAAATCTCCATGTACTTTACGGCTGCAAGGTCAGCAGACGAAGCACAATGATCAAGTGCACTCAGAGGTGCCCTGCCCTGGCCAGGATACTGGTTATAAAGGCCTGGTCTCCAAGCAGGGTTTGTACCAGTATAACGATTTCATAAAGAGATGTGATATTTTACTGAAATCGTTATACTGATACAACCCCTCGTTTGCACCAATTATACTTGTGTAAAGATGCCTTCCCCATACTTTACAGCAGGGGTGAGCATGATACGGCCCGGGGGCTGGATCTGGCCCTCCAAGCCTTTTAATCCAGCCCACCCACCCCTGCAGCATAGAGCAGTGCTGCTCAAATCAGCTGGCTGCTCCCTGTGGCCTTCTGCATTGTGGGGAGAGGGGGAGGTTTGGTGTGTTGAACCCATGCCCAGAAAAATCTCTCAACTCTCATTGGTTGGCTTCTGGCCAATAGGAGCTGAGACATTTGGTTGGGATAGGGGCAGTGTGCAAAGTTGCCTCCTCCCGCACAGTGCAGCTAGCCACATGGAATAGCCAGCTGGGGGCTGTTGGCAGGCAGAGAAGCCTGCTTGAGTCCTGCTGGCTGGGAGCTGCTTAGGTAAGTGCCTCCTGGCCAGAGCCCTCCTCTGGCACCCCAATCTCTCCTGCACCCCCTCCTATGCCTCTCCCCCAGGCCAGAATGGACCCTGAACCCCAATACTCCATCCCAGGTCACCACCCAAACTCTCTGAGCGCTCCTGCCCCCACCACAGGTCACAACTCCCTCCCAGATCCTGCCCCTGCTCCTACATCCGTCTCCCAGGCCAGAATCCTTTCACACACTCATACCTCCTCCCTGGACCCTGCACTCTAATCCTCCCCCAGGTCACAACCTCCTCCACCCACACTCTCAGCTCCCCAAACTTTCTACTGTAGACCAGGCCTAAATGGATCCATGAGGAGGAGCTTGATACACTAGTATAGTTGATAGTTAAAAGAGCAGAACTTTGTTGTAGACAAGCCTAAATAAAGATACCAAGAACACCTACATAAAATAACGCCTCTCCTGCGGCTCCCAGGCATGTCTGCTATTGAAAGAGATCACTGCTCCAGGCCTCGCTGCTAGTGCGTTGCCTGGGAGCCGGGGACATGCAAGGTCTTTCAACTGCTTCTGTTTAAAGGGCTTGAGCCTTCTCTGGGACTGTTGCCTGGGAGCCACGGGGAAGGCACGAGCCCTTTAAATAGAAGCAGTTGAAAGGGCTTGCGAGTCCCTTGCTCCTAGGCAACCGGCTAGTATGGTGCCACGGCTGCCAGCCCTTTCAATTGCTTCTGTTTAAAGGGCTTGTGGCTGCCAGGCAACGCAGCTGTCTGGGAGGCGCCAGCCCTTTCAATAGAAACAGTTAAGAGGGCTCACAGCTCTGGCACTGATAGCGCACTGCCTGGGAACTGGAGCAACTGCTCCTATTTAAAAGGGTTAAGTGTTCCCTGCGGCTGCCAAGCAATGCGCTATCTGCAATCTCTTGGCTACTGTTCTGCCTCCTCCTCTATGGCCACCTGTGTTTTTAACTAGCTTTGATCTAGAACACTTGTCCTATTAACAGTGTAGGATCAGTGCCATATTTGCCTGACAAGCATTGTTCTGATACTGCAAAACTAAAATGCCTTTGGGTATAAGAAAATTGAGAGAATGATAGAAATGTAGGGCCAGAAGAGACCTCAGTGGGTCACCTAGTCCAGTTCCCTGCACTGAGCAGGATTAAATACTATTGAGACCGTCCCTGATAGATGTTTGTCTAATCTGCTCTTAAAACCTTAGTGAAGTAATATCACATGTGCTAAATATACCAAAATAAAAGCATCTTTTAAGATGCAAAAGGAATTGGGACTATAAACGATGAAAGGACTCCTTCTCAATGATAGAAGTTATCCCAGTATTCTTCAGTTACATTGAAGGGTCAAAATCTAATCATCATTGTGAAATAAGGTATTTTATTTTGTTCTTAAAATGTTTGGCAGCTCCCGTTTGAAATATTCCACCCAAGCTTCTCTAACCACAATGAGAGGGGGAGAGGCAAAGAAATGCAAAGATGGAAGAATCAGCAGTAGCCAACATGAAGTAGCAGCAGCCAGATTATTGGGTACAGGTTTGAGTACTCAGGAAGTAACGTGGCTAGAGAAACCCCCAGTAAGAGCCAGCAGCAGGGACTAAGGAGAAGGCCTTGCTTAGTGTACAGGTTGAACCTCCCTGGTTCGGCACTCTCAGGACCCGAGTGGTCCCAAACAAGGGAATTTGCCAGACCAAGGGCAATCAGGTGTCTGGGCTCTCTCAGGGCTTCCCTTCTTGCTGCTGCCCTGGGAGAGCCCAGAGGCCTGATCTCTGGCCCACTGTCTGGCTCTGCTGCCCCAGCCCACTCACAGGGCTCTGCTCTCTGCCCCTGGCCCCACGCAGGGTGGCAGCTGCTCCTGGGTCCCCAGCCACCTGGCCCTATATAAGGACCCCTACCCCCTATGGGGCGTCAGTATCTCTTGGGACTCTCTACCCGAAGTCACTGGCTGTGCGGGCTGCTACCAACCAGACCAGCTCTGCTCCCAGCCACTCCCAACCTCTGTGACCAGGGCTCTCTGGTTTAGCAACATCCATCGTCCTGCTGGACCACAGATGTTGCTGGACCACAGAGTCCTGGACGAGAGAGGTTCAACCCGTACTGTTATGCAGAAGTACTCCGAGTTGTCCAATGTAACAGAAATCCAGTTTAGCCTGTTACATAAAATTGTTTATAAAGTCAGCAAAAGTTGAACACTGTTTTCTGGCGTTAAATTTAAAAAAAAAAAAAAAAAGTGGTGCAGCTTGAAATGAAAAAAACTGGGCACCTTCTTCTTTACCTATTAAGTGAGAGATCAATTTCCAAAAAGTACTTCAA